AAGGGTTTATGTTGCATTACTCGCAGAAATGGTATCTTTCACATGGCTCTATATATTAGTTCAATAGGTTTCAATTTGCAATGATACAGAGGAAGCCTCAAGACATCATGGCCAACAGCCTTCGCCAAAACATCCACAGGTTAGACGGAAAACATCTCTTTAAACACTGCAGCTCTGCTTTTAATTGGTCTGAGAAAAACGGGATATTCTTCTTTGTCAGTCAAGGCTGAATGTCTGCCTTTCGTGTTGTCGACGTTGGTACTTTCTCGAGGTGAACATTCATGGATAAAGAGCATTATTTATGGCTATGTCCGGCGTTGACGCAGGTTTCGTCAAGGTAGTATGGAGGTCTCGAAGTATAAACAATAAAAGTGAGGTATGTCATCGATCGCCAACACCGCATTTTCGTAATGCAGGACAAGCAATGTAACAATATGCACTGTTCAGCTGACCTAAGAATGCCCAGGCAATGAAGACATCATACAGAAAAAAAAAAACAAAGGAACACATGAATGCATCAGAGAAACTGCAGGGAGACGCGAGCCGCATCTCATGTCTTGCATCACACAAAGTACAGCGAAATGCAAGCCATGTCTTTGGTAGTTTCACAGCAATTTTAAAATAATTTCAGTTGCTGGGTGAATAAAAGAATCACTTATTCATTATTTTCTAACAAGATGCATCTTTCAGAATAGCTCCCATATGTGCCGTTTTCGATCGCAAAGTTGTCGAATGGTACGTAGGTACTGCCGTCGCCACACGTTGTTTCTCTCCAACGGCACGAAATTCCTCATCTGTTTGCGAAAGCAAAAGCGGATGCCAGTAAGCAGCCTTTGCATCATTCGCACACTCATTTCAGGCATATTCATGCCACTCACTGACCACATTTCGAGAGAGTTTTGCAGCAGCTGAAATTCAATTTTTCAGAAAGTACTGATGCACTTTTTTTCGTAGAGCTGCCAGAGAGAAGCTGTCGTAAACTTTGTCTTGTTCTCCTGGTTTTCGTTCATGCAGTTGTGGCTGGGAGACACAGGCGCTTTCACTTCGTTGACTTGGGCGTTACACCATTTACATCGAGCTTTATGCGGAATACACTGCATTCGCTAACGCCAATGAGTTCACTGACCTTCTGACATGCGCTTCGCACAGGCAGCTGAGAGTCTCTTCTGGTTACATGCGCGTATTCATTGTTCAGAATTGTCTTGGTCTGTATGGAGAGCTTTTCATTTGACAATGCTTGTCATGGCTGCGAAGCTAGTGGGCTTGGGAGATGCAATGGACTTTCCTCCGTAGGCAGTGTTGAGCTGCAACTGGAAGACGCCATCTTTGTTTGAAGGTAATGTAAATGAGCAATGGAAGCAAAAAAAAAAAAAAAACCTGAGAGCATGAAATGAAAATTTCATTACTCCTCGTTAATTTTACTGGTGATTTAATAAATACCATTCATGAATAATGAAGCAGTCAATGGTAAATTTCAGTTGACCAGAACCGTATACAAATGCTTTCATTAGAGGATTGCATGCTGGGGCGCAGTAAAACAAGTGTGACTTGCTTCCGTAGCCTAGGCCTTGGTGCCACAGAAAGTTGTCGCCGAGTATAGATTGCCGCATGCGTCAGGAAACAGCGCCCTCAAATGAGATCACTGTGAGGTAGCCATTTAAGACTACGCTCCCTCCTTTTGTGGGTGATAGTGTTGTCACGTGTTTTTATACTTTGCATGCTTTATCAGTTAGAAAAAATGGGCATATAGTTAGTACATTGCTCAAAATAGCTCGGTCAGATATGTCATTTAAAAATGCCTACATACGCCTCATTGACATTTTAATGATTAGGTGGTGGGTACTTGTTGAAATATAAAAATAATTGAGACTAACTAAACCTCAATAATGAAAAATAAGTAGAGGCTACTACAGTATATAGGGAACAGTATGCACTTAGGTGTTCTTCCAAGTAATAACGTTTCCCTTTTTAAAAATCATGCTGCGTGATATTTGGCATACCCTGGGGGCTATTTTTAAGCAATTTGTAACAGCTCGAAGGAGGGATCGAACAGAATAATGAGAGGGAGCAAACATCCAATAGGCGAGCTGAAAGAACTCAGAAATGCTTAGAACGCATTGTCACTAATCTCTTAATTGGTAAGGCAATCGCCGGGCAGATTCTAAGGGCCAATTTATCGGACCTCTAAAACGCACCACGAAAGCTTGGACAATCGAGGGTAGACCACTTTAGTGTGCCAGCGAATGCTGGCTGAAATTCAAAGACCGAGTCAGAGCCAAGAACTGACAACAAAAATAAAATACTATATTTTTAGTTAAGACAGTATAATCATTACATAAACATATGCATACACACACACTTGTATAGTAAATTCAAGTATTTAACAACTCTCATGATATTCAGGACCATGGAAAGAATCAAACCAATCGCACCACACGTGCAATCTAATGCATTACAAAATCTTCCGAACACTTAAAGTGTTGAAATCTTCACTGATCATGCCCAGTCCACAAGTTCTTGAAAAATGTCCCGAAAGTTTTTTTTTTTTTTTTTTTCGAGGAGATCATCCGTGATGACTCCAGCACTGATTGTCGTTGTTTCCTTCGTTGCCAGTCTGTTACACGATTCATGTGCCGCTTCACCGACAGTTCTGACTCCCCATTGCTGCCTGCTTATATCAGGCCGCGGTCGAATTCAAGAATATTCCACACCACTCACGTGTGCGCAGACAGACACCTGCCAGTGGCAGTCGCATTTGCTTCTCGAATCCTCTTGGTGTTACTCGGTGTTTGCTTTCACGGCATTGTGGAGAAGCGACCATTGCTGGCGCCTTGAATCGGGGCGAGGTATCGGCAGGTGCCATCTGTTTTGACCTGCTTTTGAGGGTGGTTTCAGTGCTCGTTTGTGACACTCGTAAAGGAATACAGAATTATTATTATAGCTGAACATTGATAATGACAGGCATTGTTTTTCAAAGCTGGAGATTGAAGGGCGGCACGACTTCAACAATTTGTGTTAATGCATTGAGTGGACGCTAGGGGGTGTCGCAATTTGGCGAGTCGTTCAGTGGTCATTTTCCTAAACAATTGGCGCACAATTGGGGTAAGCCAGGCACAAAACGGGCTAATTTGGTTTTCTGGGCTTAAGCACTTACTTTACGGTCCACTCCACATCGTCTGGAGGTCTTTTTGAATCCATTATATCTACAGAACAGAGCCTCTGCCCGTTCCATGACACATTCCCTTTTATCTGCATCGTAACTGCCTAGCCAAAGTATTTTCTGTAAAAATACATTTATTTACATCTCACGAAAATTGACTATTTGATCTCTGAAGTTGTCACAGTTCACAGGCGTTTCAAAATGGAGAAAAACTGAGATTGAAGGCACGAAACCTCGTCTGTTGCTAGTGGGACTCATGCTTGATTGATGATGATAGTAAAAGAGGCCATCGTTTTTCCAAGTTTTTTTCTTGTTTGATTTTTTCTGATATCGCACAAGGGAAGCCTGTTCAGTCATTTGTTATGGACCCCGATGGTGAAAGAGAACTACCCTACTGCCACTGCCATTGTGATCTGATCACAGCTTTTGCTGTAAAATTTGAAAGCGCTATGGCATCTAGGGGGCATTGCCACACTTTTCACACCCGTGGTGGCTCTCACTTTTTTTTCTTCCTTGTTGCATACTTGATGCTGCCTTGAAGGAATTCGGCCTGGCAAAAGAGCCTGTTGAGTCACTTAAAGGTTCTAGGCACCACCATTCCTTCTTTCACTGGTGAGAAAGAAACACCAAAATGAAAAAAAAAAGTCGCCACAGTTCCATCAGCCAACACAACTCCTGCCATCATGCTTGCGATGTGCTCTAGGGTAAGGAAAAAAAAAACAAAGACAACACATAGTGATGTGCAAATTCTCAGAAGGTATAGTTTATGGCCTTCTCCTCTCCTGCAATAGGAAGTATATAGGCCAGACCATGAGGTGCATTAATGAGAGACTAAAAGAGCATAATTATACTGTGTCACTTCTAATGCACCCTGGCCAGTTGGCTTCCAACTGTGCAGAATTTATGTGCACAGCGATTTTTTCCGGCACGAACGTTTTGGCGCTTTTTTGATCAGAGAGGGAAATCACAGAAGCTGTTTACATGCCTATCAGTGAAAGGTGCATTAGTACTCCCTCAATTGCTCTCTCTCGGGAAGAAATCAGCTTTTTGAAGGAAACTGTATCGCTGCATACGCTATTCTTTACACGTTTCAGTAAAATTCTTTGATGCCCGGATATGTTTTCTTTTTTGTGTTCTGTTTTCTAGCACTGAATTTCCCTCCCCTCTTTTAATTTTTACCTGTACACAAGGCTTTTTACGATCAAAATAAAGTAGTTGTTAGTTTTGGCATAACTCTGTGTCATCTCTGGTTTTTTTCCTTACCCTGCAACGCATCAGAAGCATAAAAATGTACCAGCTAGCCCCCAAGCCGCCTTATTAACTCCTACTACCTGCCATCTGTATAGGTATATATATATATATAGTTATAACGTGTCAGCAGAAAGCATAGGACTGGGTTAATTAGCAGAACATGAGGCTGCAGTAGGCATAGGCTGGCTGCTGTTGCTGCTGCTAATGATGTAGTTGATATGCCTAGTCAGCCCTTGGAGTAACTACAACTACTTAATGTACACAAGGACATTGATCTACATTGTAATGCTTGTCGCCAATCAAAAAAGAATGCTGCAAATGCAGCTACTCGGTGGCTCCTTCAGATCACAGATTCCCTCAGTGTGTGGGATCTGCTGGAATTTCAGTTGTAACAGGGAATAATCACTCATTATGGGTACATCTGCAGTGGCGTACTGATTTGATGAGTTGTTTTTATTAATTTTTTTTGTATGCAGAAATGCACGCTGCTGCTAGACCTTCTTGTTGGTGTGTCTGCATAGCTTTTATTATAGTCTCGCTCGTACATGTCATCTCACTAACTGAAATTGTGTTGTCACTTCATGTGCAGGGTAACGGAAGTGATGAAATGCAGTTCAGGGAACTGCTGGGCAAGCTGGAAGCATTGTGGACAACAGAAAAGTTCTGCGAAAAACAAGATGACGTATGGCGCCTACTCAAGCGGGATGTCCCTCGAAGACCCAGGTTCACCTGTGACACGGTTCACGACTTGCTTGACATTCTCACTGACCGTGAGGTTATCACACCACAGGAAACAGTGCTCTTGAAGCGGCTCGCTGCTGTATTCTCAGTCCAAGAGGCCTCAGAGCATATTCAAGCATTTAGGAAAATACCGTTGGACCAGGACACCTGCAGCTTATGTTCTGCACCGTGTCAGGCACCGTTGCTGTATCGCACACCTGTTCAGGAAATCACTGGTGAGACATTCCCTATGATTTCACTCTCTTGGTGATCTTTGTTCATACTAGATAAATGTTAGCAACTTTTACAGCAACAAGTTTACAGGATTTCTCACGCACTGTTCGCGGAGACACTATAGCTGCCGATGCGACAAAAAAGAAATTGTAGAAGATGGCGTTCAGTGATCATAATGCAAAAATCACTGTTTCATGTGACCGTGCGAGCAATATTGACATGCATTGGGAACTGATCATCTAAATGTTGCGAGATGTGTAGCCTCATAATGGCTGATTTAGTGTAACACATGTTTTTAGAACATTGCTGTTGCATGAGCCTTCTACAAAAGTGGAAATGGCTGGCAGAGCCAAGTGCAGAAAACTGTTTCATTAGTTCAATATGTCATAAAGCTACTTTACGGTCTGAGATGATGTTAACAGGTAGTCTTAAACCACTTTTCTGATTAGTTATTGAATGACCTGATCATGGAAGTTTATTGCCTCGCAAATCATTTACAGCAAAAATTTCTTAAATCCCTCAAGAACCAACGGAATTGCAGGAATCAGTCATACGCTTTGAATGCCTCCGCTCTTCTGATGTCTCGACGAGTGCATTAAAAGCTGCACAAGGAAGGCGGAAAGATGTCACAACGTTGGTGTAATGACGAAAGGTCGACAAATTCACTCACGAGTTGACTCAGTTAGGCTCACTAATACTCAGATAGAGCTGCGAGTCTGAGTGAATACGAGTGAAGAAAATTTTCGTGTGAGTCCAAAGTGCAAGATATACAGTTAAACGAGGTTTTAATGAAATTAATGAATTCCTGGAAAAATTAGTTATAAAGAGGTTTTTGTTATATGCAGGTATGGTACGAAAATTTGGAAAATAAATGCACAAATTAAACAAAAAAGGGACTGAAGGCAGAGTTAACCCCAAACACTCATTTTACAGTAAAAAACTGCGTTATTATTGCGATAGCAATTACATGGACACTCTCGGCTGGTTCTTGCTGTCACCGCCATGTTCCGCAGCAAGTCCAAATTGACTACATGTCCCCACACATTGTAACTTTTACTAGCGGGTAAAAGCGTGAGCGCTGGTGAAGCAGAGATAAATTAGTCAGCCTATCCCTATCGCCTGCAAAGTGCATAACGTTTCCCGCGTGTTCGAACTGCCATCGAATGCTCAAACAGAAAGTAAACCACCTGCCCTAGACAAGCATGAAACAATGTGGGTAGGGGGGGAATCGCTTGAGTAGCAATAATGAGCTCGCTGGCGCCCTTGCTATCTTGGCGAGTATCAGTGTCGTTTTAACGCGAAGGGACTGTGTGAAAAGAGAAAACGCAATCGTTCCAGTCAAAGTCGAAGACGAAGACGTGCAATTCTCCCCACCGAAGGATAAGCGCGCGCACACAAACATCTAACCCCCCTCTCCTCTCTCCGCATTATCGGGGCAAAGTACATGTGGGAGATAAGCGCCCATCGGCACATCCTGACAAGATGAGCGCCGAGTGCGGGCGGCCTTTGTTTTTTTTTCAGTTTTCATATATATATATATATAATATACATATACTATACATATACGGTGAATGAAGGCGGCGGTTGCAAAAATACAGCCGAAACTGCCCATATACATAATTGCTATCGGAATAAAAAAAAAGCAAAGCTGAACGTCCTCGGGTGACACACCATGCGCGCGGACTGAAACTATACACGTGTGCACGGCATCGAAAACAAAGAGCAAACGACACAGACACGGTTAAAAGTATTCAGTAAAATGCTCTCCATATTCAGCGCGGCCCCTACATGTGTGATGCTAACTAAATGTGTGGCACTGCCAACGGGCAAAAGTAGTTTTTTTTTTTTTTGGTTTGGAGCGGGGGCACACTCGCGCATGCGACCGCGGCGGCGAGAAAGGGGGCAACGCCGGCTCGTAAGATGCAGACCCGCCTCACGCAGACCCGGCCCGCGTGCCTACCGCTTCGCGCCTCGGCGCCGCCGGAAGATGCATGCTCGTACCAAAATGCCGAAATGCGCAGTAAAATTCCAAGATTGTCCGTGGGGAAGATTCGTTATATCAAGGTTGTCTCCCGCATTACTTTGTTACATAGAGGTCGCAAATACATGTGCTCCTATGGAGCGACGGTTGAGAATGCAAAAATTTCGTTATATCCAGGAATTCATTATTTGTAGGTTCATTATAAGTAGGTTTAACTGTATTTCGTGAGTGAGTCTGAGTCAGCGCCACATTTTTTTCGCCGACCAGTGGACCTATCTACTAAGCTTCAGCATTACTTTCAGTCTTATTTGTATTATCTTTTATACTCGCGTCTACTCACACTCATTTCGAAGTGGTTTTGTTCATACATGACTTTAATGTTTATTGATAAGAGGCATGAATTATGTAGGAGGGTGTCTTGACCTCCACCGTCAACTCTTTCGGGGAAGTTCATGGTAGATAAAATTTTAAAGCATATGTGATTATGTTTTCCGGCTGTTGACCCAAAGGTCGCGGGTTCAATCCCAGCCGTGGCGGTTGCATTTCGAAGGAAACCAACTTGTAGAGGGCCGTGTGCTATGCGATGTCAGTGCACATTGTAGAAGAGCAGATGGTCGAAATTTTCGGAGCCCTCCACTACGGCATTTCTCTTAACCATATCCTGGATTCGGTGCGTAAAATTCCAGATATTATATTGATTTTATTTGTAATGAATTCCAACTTGCTCATCATTTTGTACATGTACCACTGCTCTTCAAAAGCATGGAGTAATTTATTGCATAAAGGTCACTTTGCATGCCCCCATCGCATCAGTACGTACCATTCTTGCTCACTATAATACATTTTATTGCCTTTTTAAAGAAGGGGTTCAAGTTAGAAATAATAATTTTACAAAAACTATGAATTTATTAATACCCTCACACAATTAATAATTATTGTACATTTCGTTGACTAGTCTACGAGATTTATAATCTGCCTTTGATTGCCGCTATAACGAAATATAACTGCCCTAGGTTGAGCAACTACACAGGGTTAACCTTTGCTACAGGGAAAAACTAGAATTAAATGAGAGAAGAAGACAGGAAAGAGTAAAACAGGGGAAAAAAACGAAGCTATATGTATGGAGAGAAAGAGATAGGAAAAGGCGACTGCCAGTTTCCTCTGGGCGGGTCAGCCCAGGGGTGAAGTCTACGTGAAGCTGGGGCCAAAGGGGTGTATCGCCTCTGCCGGGGGGGGGGGGGGGGGGGGCTTAAGGGGAGATGCTACTTGAAAAACGATTTTCTTTAATAAGAGTCTGAATTTAACACAAATTGGCATGCTAATAGGGTTTTTTCTCCTCTTTTCAAATATGTCATTTTTTTCATGTAGATTGCTTGGTTTTCTTTCTGCAGGTCAGATACTGCAAAATTATGGCCATTGTTATGCAACAATTCTGACCTATAAAAATTTGAGATAAAGCATGCAGATATAGCTGGCTATAATCCTTTGGAACTGTAGAGTGCAAAAAACTATATAAATTTTGTGTATAAAGGTGAAATGCAATAATAAAATAGAAAAATTTACTATGGCTTTAGTTGCCAAGGGCTTTCAATGTTATGTAATTTTAAAAACATAATCAAGCAGCACTGACAATTTGAATAGATACTTGCACTCTATGGGCCTTCATTATGCTATGTGCAAAATTTCATAGAGGTATGAGAATTCTAAGTATACGAACTAGCGTGTATAAGAAGCACAGATCACACAAAACTGCAAAAGGAGAAAAACGCATTTTAAAGTTTGAAACCTTTTTTTTTATCACAGAGCTGTTAGAAATGCATAATCTTTGGCCATAATTTTCAACAGAACTTTGAAAAGCACTGCAAGTTACTAGAACTGTCCTGCAGCATAGGTTGTGCCCTCACGGTCCTTGCGAGCACTCTCTTCTAGCCGTGCCCTTTTCACTCCACGACGATGGTGGGCCCTTGCTTCTGCTGTCAGACGCTCGGACATTCTCTTGATGTGCCTCGCATCGCGGGAATCCTCGGTGGTGCATTGGTTTTGGGAGTCCAATAATGGAGCATAATCTCGACAATTGCTCATGCACAATGCCGACAGCGCGTGCAGCCACCACCGCCTTCACATTTACAGCGAAACTATCTCAGGAGCTCCCACTGTCATACCGTTGGCTCACTCGGCTGCTGCCGTCCGCCGTAACATGCAGTGACGTATAGGAGCACGAAAGAACAGTCGCTGAGCATTCGCTGTTTTTGCAATGAAGTTCGAGGAGCGACGAAAGTCCCTTGCGCTTTTCTGCCGGCTCCCGAACGGCAAGTTTTTGAATACCGCAAGCAGGGCATGCCGCACCTGCCACAAGGGCCGTCAGCAAGAGGGTGTCGCACAAAACTGTCGTTGCACAAACCTCGTCGCGCTGTTTTTCGTCTTTTTCGAAGAAGCCGAGCTTCTTTTCCGAAGCACTGACGAAAGAAAGCGCAGCGTCAATCCCTTCATCGCAGCCACTGTCGCTCGCGCACTCGTCGATGCCGCCGTCAGGCCTAGCACACGTAGGCGCGTTCTCGTTCGTCGCTGTCGTTCGGGGCGCTTTACGCCGCCTTCCCTTAAACTTGTGCTTCGTTCGAAACATCTGCGGTCTCACGTTGCACTTTTTCGGTCTTGTCATCGCGGAAATATGCGTAGACGTGCAGAAAAGCAGACGGACCAAATGCCGATGGCCGCCACCAACACAGCTGACAATGACCCGGTAGCCAATGGCGATGCGGCTTAGGGTGCCGCGCGTTTCAAACCGCTCAAACCATGTGATAAAAAGGCCTCGTTTTTTATTTTTTTTTGCTCACGTATGAAACTGGCGGTTGTCGGAGCTGTAAAAAGAAGGCCGGACGCAACTTTCCCAACCGATCGCGATGGCGGGCGGCACTGCGACGGGGAGCAGCGGGCAGTCAAAGATGGCCAATATCGACGCAAATTCACGAAATTTTGAGCCACCGCGATGCCTTCATACACATTTTTTTGCATTTTGCGGTTCGAATTTAGTTTTGAAATTTCGACAGATGAAAGAAGAAGGTTTGAAGATTACAATGCAATAAAGATCAGAAATACGAGAAATTTCGCTAAAAACGCGATTTTTCGACTCGCATCTCCCCTTAACCCGGTCCTGTGCTTGCTGCTCCCAATTTATACCCGCAAACTTCTTAATCTCATCTGCCCACCTAACCTTCTGTCTCCCCCTAACTCGCTTGCCTTCTCTGGGAATCCAGTCAGTTTCCCTTAATGACCAGCGGTTATCCTGTCTACGCGCTACATGCCCGGCCCATGTCCATTTTCTTTTCCTGATTTCAACTATGATATCCTTAACCTCCGTTTGTTTTCTAATATACTCTACTCTCTTCTTGTCTGTTAAGGTTACACCTACCATTTTTCTTTCCATTGCTCGCTGCGTCGTCCTCAATTTAAGCTGAACCCTCTTTGTAAGTCTCCAGGTTTCTGCTGCGTAGCTAAGTACCGGCAAGGTACAACTGTTATACACCTTCCTCTTAAGGGATAGTGGCAATCTACCTGTCATAATTTGAGAGTGCTTGCCAATTGTGCTCCACCCCATTCTTAATATTCTAGTTACTTCAATCTCGTGGTTTGGCTCCGCGAACCACGGTATTGAGCGAACCACTGTGTTGGAAAAGAAAAGAAATAAAGGTGTGTAGGCTAGTACTGCAAAAGAAGAAAAAGAAGTTGAAAACGAGAAACGGCGTTTGGTCTGGTTTCTTCGCCGATCGGTAGTTTTCCTTTACATCGTGGTGCCGAAACCCCTTATGCGGACACGTCTCCTTCATCGCACGACTCGAAGGGGACTTTCTACTCGACCGCGTCGTTTCGCAGGCGGCGAAGACTGCAACGAATCGTTCCTGATCGGCGTAAGCCGGACTAGACTCCAGCACCGGATCTGATTGGATCGCCTCAAGACTAAGCGCTCCACTCGACGAGCCCAGAACACCAAGCTCCTGCAAGAAGCAAGGTCACTGCTAATTGACCCTACCGCGGACAAGCCCAAACTCACAGGTATTTATGACCGTTTGTCAGCGAGCAACAACGAGCTCTCGAAGATCAATGATGCACTCGAGGAGCACGTAGCGGACGAGGAGCTCGAAACTGAGTATATCGCGGCAGCAGAGTATAACGAGAAAGCTATAAGCATACTCGCTGATATTCGCTGCAAGATAGACGGTTTGCGACATGGAGACAATACAGAAGCGGCTGCTCCTGAGAACGCAAACACATCACCTTTTGACGTGCCAACCGCAATTGGCCCAAGGCTGCCGAACCTTGGCATGCCAACATTTAGAGGTGATATACATGAATGGTCGGCTTTCTGGATGCAGTTTGAGCAAACTGTCCACCTGAACAACGCTTTGTCAACAACGACGAAGTTCTTCTATTTACGTCATTATCTTGCGGGTGAAGCGGCAGCTGCGATATATGGTTTTCCAACTTCCGAAGCCTGTTGTGCAGATGCCATCGAGTTATTGAACTAACGCTGCGGAGATCGAAAACGCATCGAGCACACCACCTAGCAGCGCTTCGCAATCTACCTCACATCAAGTCGGGAAGCGACGTCCACGGCCTTAGGCGACTTTACGATGCTGTGCAGCTGAATATCCGTTGTCTAAATGCACTAAATGTTCCTACGCTTAGCTTTTCCGCTATGCTGATTAACATTTTACAGAAAGCCCTACTGTACGACATCATTTTGGCCTTCACACGTGCAAAGCGCAGTCAGGCACTAAGAGAAAACGGGTCTGCTGCCAATGTCTTTGAGCCAAGCGTGGTAGCTGCCACATCTGATGCGGAGTTAAAGGAGCTGCTCATCTATACACATATAGAGCTAGAAAGTCGGGAGCAGTGCAAGCCCTTTAATGACCGACTGCTGGATGACCGTGCACAGAGGACTCGAAGCGGCAGCATCAGCACGGCTTCCGTACTGCACAGCACATCGAACAGCTGGGGTGAGTGTTTTTTCTGCAAGTCGAAAAAACATGGCACCTGCGCTTGTGACGCGAACCTTGCCATCGATTCGAATAAAGGAATGCTTGCGAAAGACAACCGCTGCTATCGATGCACGTCCTGAGGACATCAGGCACTTCTTGCCGCGTCAAACTCACCTGCTCTAGTTGCCACGGGAGGCACGCATCAAATATGTGCGACCCGCACTATACATCGAACCAAACAGCGACACCTTCTCGTCCAGTTGACTCCTCCGGCAGCACAGTAGGAATGGTGTCGTCACAATCAGTTATGCTGTGTGAGAAGGATTCACTGAGCAGGGGCACAACAAATCACAGTGAAGTATATTTACAATATACTTCAATATACATCACAGTGAAGTATATTTACAAAACGGCAAAACAAGGTATGTCCGAGGGATTCTCGATGGAGGGAGCCAGCGATCCTTCGTCACGGAAGATCTCGCCAAGACATTACACCTACAGGGCGAAGCTCAAATTGCGCTGAATACATTTGGCTGTTCATCACCAAGTACTGTGGAAAGACTTCAAGTGGTGGAAGTTCCTCTGCGTAGCCAACACGGTTCTGACACCTACACGGTGCGCGCAATTGTTGTTCCAGTTATCTGCCACGATATTGCTTCCCCGAAAGCTGACAGCCATTTGGTTCAGAACCTGTGTCTTGAAGGCAAGGTCATTGCGGATGAAAAGAAGTTTGATGCGGAAACGGAAAATAGCCTCAGCTTGTTGATCGGCGCTGACCACCTCTGGCAAATCATGTCAGGACGTATCGTCAAAAGTGCAGAAGTTCCAGGACTGGTAGCAATGGATACAGCTTTTGAATGGACGCTACAAGGACCCAGTCACCAAAAAGCCTATCTTGACTGCAGCTCGAGCCTAATGGTCTGCATTCTGAAAGTGCAAGCAATTGGTGATGACGAATCAACCTCGCAGACCTTGCAATCTTTTTGGCAACCAGAAGCAATGGGCATCGCAGATTCAACGGAACCTTCCTCCCATGAGCCCGTTGCACGATTACGTGAAACCATTAGCAAGAAAAGTGACAGACACACTGTGGCGTTGCCTTGGAAGGAAGATAAGGAACCGCTTCTAGGGAACAACCGCGAAATTCCGCTATCACGTCTACAAAGATTAACACGGAGGCTATCAACGATGGAAGGAATGTTGCAGCGATATGACAGAGTATTCCGGCAATATCTGGAGATGGGTCACGCGGAAATGGTGCCTAAGGATACTCCTCGGGATCGAGATCACGCCATATATTATATGCCACATCGGGAAGTAATAAGAGAGGAATCGTTAACTACCAAACTGCGTGTAGTGTTCGACGCATCGTCACACACCCAAGGTGTACCATCCCTTAACGACTTCTTGGATAAAGGAGTGAATCTCAATCCAGAATTGCTGCAAGTCCTTCTTCGCTTTCGGTGGTACCCTGTCACCATCAATTCCGACATCGAAAAGGCATTCTTACAAATTGAGATACAGGAGACTGACCGAGATGCATTCCGGTTTTTCTGGTTTGACTCTATTTCCGTAAGCCAACACCGTAAGCTCGTCGAATGGCGCATGACATGGGTACCGTTTGGATCAACGTCAAGCCCTTTGTTTCTCATGGCAACTATTCACTGCCATTCAGATAACGCATGTAAAGATAAAGAGCTCGCTTCTACATTAAAGAAGGCATTTCATGTCGAAGATTTATTGGTGGGTGTGGAGGCATTCTATGAAGGTTGGCGCACCTATGAGCAGTCAAAAGAAATTATGAAAGATGCTGGCATGAGGGTCAGAAAGTGGAAGACCAATGACCATCAGCTGCAGAACATTTTTGACAACCAGGAGGAGCAAGTAGAAGGAGCATCCGGAGAAGCAGCTGCGGTCTTGGGAATGCAATGGGATATAGGAAATGATTACTTCAAATTTTCTTCCAAGTCTGTGGCCCAGTATTTAGTGGCTGGCCAGCTCGACACGAAGCGTACCCTACTGAAGATTGCTTCTCGAATTTATGACCCACTTGGCATTCTATCACCATTCACCATCTTTGCGAAGCTTTTGTTTCAACGCTTTTGGGTTTTAGGCCATTCCTGGGAGAAAGAACTGCCCGCGGAGATCAAGACGCAGTGGACAGCCTGGTGTGCAGATGTAATACAGCTCGGCCACATAAAGATTCTGCGTTGCGTCAGAGACGGACTGCATGGAGCACTTAAGGGGAGATGCTACTCGAAAAAGGTTTTTTTTAATTTCATAACCCAGCTCTTGAAATTTTAGGTGTTAGTAAAGCTTGCAGTGCTGATTTCATAACTGCAAATATTTTTTTGATAGCTATAGTAGTTCTGGAGTTACAACTTTGATATCAAAATATAGTGTTTTTTGTGCACATAATAAAGCTTACTAAAAATTTTCACACAGAATTGCAAAATGGCTCATTCTGCTGCACTTGAGCAGTACAATACAGAAAAGTACCTCAAACAGAAAATTTATTTGCTAAATTAAAAAAAAAATTAAAAGTACTAAATGCATATTTTACATCTCTCTATCAGTGTATCAAGTTGTGTAACAAAAAATCTGTGATGTATAATGCAACCTAAAGTAAATACTTGTATTCTAGAGTGGCTGATTAAGCTCTGTGCAAAATTTCATCAAGATAGGACTATTTTATGCCTAAAAAAGATTGTGCACAAGATGAGAGAATTACCTCAAAATGGAAATCGAGAAAAATGCATTTGAAAGTTGTAAATATGTTTACTCATGATTACACAGTGCGATTTGCACAAAACTTGGTGATATCATAGAAGGGACACAGCTAGAGCACCTAAAATAGTCCTGCTCCATATGTGGATCCTTCTCGCCGCTTGAGAAGGGAGTCATCAAGGCGCGCTTTCTTTGCCACGTTCCGCCGATGGGCCCTTGCCTCAGCTGTTTCACACGCAGACATTCTTTCGATTCTCCTCTGGTTGCGGGATTGGCCCAGGGTGATCAGTTGATCTGGTGGGACTACACCAAGCTCCTCTAGCACGTGTTCAAAGCTTGAATGGCCTTTATTGAACCACAACACGGCCATAGCAGCTGCAGTTTCCACTGTTGTCCGGGAGGCAAACTTAGTCTTCGGACACAACAACCAGATTTTGCTGTTCAAAGATTCTGCAGCGTTTTGGGTCTTCCCTTGGATACAACGCACCAGCAACTTTTCATCTGTGAGCGGCTTGTAAATGGGAAGCACAGCCAATCCTTGAGCCTTGGTCAAGATTGGTGTGTGGTCGGGTGGGGCTTCCCCAAGCGCTTCGGCTCGCCTATGCTTGCACCAGGAAGTCGCCCCTTCTGGACAGTATCGGTGGCTGCCTGCTGTGTTGCTCGATGATGAATGGAAATATGAGGCCCAGATGGCACGATGCATTTTCAGAATATCACCTCTGTTGTTTGTGATTGCAATACGGTAATAGTTCTGCAGCTTCTGAATTGTGCCATCTGTCAGCTTTTCCCCTCGTGGAAGTCGTGTTGGCAGTTTCCGAAGTGCAGTGCCTAGACGCTTGGCCACATGGTTTGTGCACTCCTCCTTGTCCACAACAGCTTCACCATATACCTTGGCCTCAGCGACAGCGGCATAAGCGTTACTATCCCCATCACTGAGGAACTTGGTGAAGCGCAATGGTGTTGTGTATGAGGATGTCCTGCCCCATATGCGCAAAGCTGCCTCAGTCTCCATGGCATGAGAGGAGCACTCTGTATTTTTTTCGCAGACAGGTGTGTGGAATGCTTGCCATATTTCTTCCTCATCACCCAAGTCCTGGTGCCGGCTACAGGCAAGGCAGTAATTCGATAGCACTTCAAAATCTAGGCACAAACCAGTGTCCACAGCCACAGCAGTGCCGATGCCATTGTGGCTCTTGTGCCCTCTTTTTTGCCATGTGCCATCATACATGACAGCAACATCAGCCCCATCCACTTTCTCTTTAGTTATCATCCGCGCTTTCGCCAGGTTTTCTTGCACAGCTTTGGTAGCTGCAGCATGAACTTTTTTGCCGATTGCAATAAAAGTCTTATGATGCATAGGTATTGGCAGTCCAAGAATAGCGCAAAAACGCGACAGCTGTTCATGCCCAATGCCTATTGCACGCGCAGCCACAACTACCTTCACATTGACAGCGAAGCTGTCGCCCGAGCTGCCGCTTCGGTAGCTCCAGTCATCACCGGCATCGGTGGGCTGTCTTTCCGGCAGAACACGCCGCGAACTATGCGCGGCAGAAACCACTGACTCAGGACACTCACTGTTATCACAGTGCAGCTCGAGGAACGAAGAGAGGCCCTTACGTTTACTTGCGGTGTCGCGAACGACGAGTCCAGCGGTGTGGCATGTTGGACAAACAGCACGGCTTACCATCGATGTCAGTGCGCCGATGTCACAAAATACTCCGCTCACAGAGCCACAAACACTCTTCGTTCTTTCGCTTTCAAACTGTTCAATCTTTTTTTCTGATGCGCTGATGAACTTGATCGCGGCGTCGATTTCGTCAAAGTTCCCGCAAGCCGCCGTATCCCCGCTGCCTTGATTAGGCCTAGGGGCCCGCGGCTCGCATTCTTCTACCGCTGCTTTGCGCTTCGGTTTACGTCGACGCTCTTGGTACTTGTTCTTGCTTGCAAACTTTCGTGCTCGGAAGTCTCGCTTCTTCGAGTTATCCATGGTGAACTCGGAAAAACATAGAAACGCACGGCAAGTGCCGATCGTCGCAAGCGCTCAGCGAGCGAGGCCGATCAGATGTAGCCAATGGCGGCCTCGGTAGCGTACCATGTGACCGGTAGAGATGCGCGAAGCGGCTGCAGCTTGGCTGTAAACCGACTTGAAAACGACTGTTTTGTGAAATTCCTCACTAAAATACGAAACTAGGGGGACGCCTGTACACTAGAAGGAGCCTTGATCTACACCACCGAACAAACCCCGATGGCGGACGTCATCGTATTGCCGAGCGGCGGATTTTCAAAAATAGCCGTCGGATTCGTGAATTCGCGACTTCGGCAGCTACCTTCACTAGCGCAGATCGACTTTTTACCACTTTCTTGTTTGAATTCAGCTATGACCTTTGGGGAAATGATACTTGAATGATCAAAAGTGATTTTAGAAGCAATATCTCAAAAGTGGAAATTTTCGCAAAAAACGCGATTTTTCGACCCGCATCTCCCCTTAAAGAGGCTGAACTGCATATATTCGTCGACGCCAACCTGAAGGCTTATGGAGCATGTGCCTATTTGAGTGCATTTGATGAAGGTGGAAACTCCACTACTTCTCTGATAGTAGCGAAGTCAAGAGTGGCACCTATTAAGACATTAACGCTTTCAAAGCTCGAGCTTATGGCCGCGGTAGTGGGAGCCAGATTGCTAAAATACATTTGCTCCTCGTGGGATTTCAAGCATTTCCATTGCGTCATGTGGACTGACTCCATGATCGCACTGAGCTGGATCTGCAGAAACCATAGCAAGTGGAGTCAGTTTGCAAAGCACAGAGTGACTGAAATAGCGCAAGTTAAGAAAACAGCGTTATGGCGCTACTGCCCTGGCGAAGACAACCCGGTGGATGTACTGGCTGGAGGAATACCGATAAGGACTCTACGTGCATGTCGCTATTGGTGGTATGGACCTGAATGGTTGTCCCAGCAAAAATCAGGCTGGCCTCCAGAACCTAACCAGTACAAACCGAGAAGAGGCAGAAATTGAGACGCAACACGTATTTCTTCAAGTGTCGTCCATAAACTTACACCCGGTGATCGATATAAGGAAGCATAAAGACCTGCAGAAGCTCCTGCGCGTCACCGCCTGGGTCTTTCGCTTTGTGAATCGATGCCGTGGACTTCAAACTTTGCTCAGCGAAACAATTTTGGCACGGGAGATAAGCAAGTGTGAATTGTTTTGGATCCGATATGTTAAGCTGGAAGTATTCGCGAAGGACGTCGAACAACGGCAGCTTGCACACGCTCTCCCCAAGCAGTTTATCCTTGTCGAGTGAAAGCTCAAGACGGGTACTTTTTCAGAAAACAGATTGTAATGACTGGAATTGAGTGATGCTACTGGGGGGTGGGAGTATGTCGGAAAAGAAAAGGAATAAAGGTGTGCAGGCTAGTACTGCAAAAGAAGAAGAAGAAGTTGAAAACGAGAAACGGCGTTCGGTCTGGTTTCTTCGCCGATCGGTAGTTTTCCTTTACACACGGTATTGAGCCTGTACGTAAAATCAAATGAATGGTCACTCCATCTGCAGAGATGTTACATGTATATTGTGTACTATCTCAAGGTTAGTGCTGGCGAGACACACCGGACTCACTCAGCAATTAATGAGTTGTCCAGTTCTGCCTTGTTCAATAACCGTTCTTCGCTGAGGAAACAGGGGTGCCACTTCCAGAACACCGTTTGATGGCTCCCATTTTATATTCGTCACCGTGGCAGCGGCAGGTTATAGACTGTGATCTATCTTTCGTGAATGTCACTACCGCACATGTCTGCACCCACTTCCTTGAACTCCAACACAAGTACACTTGTCTAGAAGTCTTTACAGATGCGTGAGTCTCACACTGGTATGTTCTATTCAGCTTTTGGCTCATCTTTTTTAAATTTCAGCACGTTGCACCCCTAAACAAGCATTTTCACCGCAGAAGCTCATGCAATATCTGTGGCTGTTAGGCATATTAAGGAATAACAACTACAACGCGCGGTTGTATACACAGATTCGCTGAGCGTCGTAACATCTTTGAAAACACTAAAAAAAACATAAAAATCCTGTCTTTTAGGCACATCTACATCTTCAAATGACATCTTGCTGTGTGCCGGGTGCCAGGGCACCGTGAGATCGCTAGAAATGTGGTAGCAGATCAGCTAGTTGCGTCTGCCCACAACCACGCACCCGCCAGTACACTCATGGCAGTCCCTGCACTAGACATGATATCTTTCCTACGACGAGACCGCAGGGTGTGCTGGCAGCGCCTATAGGATAGGCAAACAGAAAACAAACTACAGTAATACCTGGTTAATTTGAACTCAGTTATTTTGAAATCTCACCTAATTCAAAGTATTTCCATGCTCCCGTGTTTTGTAATGTAAGTTTGAGGGGATAACTTGAAGTGTTGGTCAGCACAAGTCTGGTTAATTGGATAACTTTGGGTGCAGTGTGCCAATTCCCGATCCCAATTTTGCCGCAAATCCGTGGAAACGACGAACCTTAAGGCCATTAGGCAATGTACTTTAGTAATACTAATGACTGGTAGCTGAAGCACCCCTGCCTCACTACTTCCAGCACAAAAATAAAATTATATATTAAAAAAATGGTCTTGTGATTAACTAAAATATGCACCTGTGGAAAATAAGACATGCTTCACTGCAGTACAGCAGTGAACAGTGCAGGCAACATGTCGCATGCTTCTCGCAACGTTAGCATGTCACGATTTATTCATTTCTTTTGGGAAATTAAATAAATTAATAAGAGACAGTCTGGAGAAATCCACGATGTATGCGAACCTCCGAGTGCCGTTTGCTCCAGTAATTTGCGCATTTGCACAGCTGGCGGACTTCTTGCCTGCAATGCCTACTTAAAAAAACTCGGGTCGAAAGCTTCAGCGGTGATATTTTCCAGCCAAAACACATCGCATATTTCGTCACACAATTCATTATTAAATTCTTTGTTTTATGAGAAATAATGGGCGAATAGTCGCATCATGACGTGCTGACGCAGCGAGGAGAAGGCGACATGCTGCCCGCATGTCACTACTGTGCTGCAGTGAAAATGTCTTGTTTTTCGCAGGCATACAATTTAGTTCATTGTTTTTTTTTTTATTGCGGTGACAGCAGTTAGGTTCGGGATTCGCCCTTGTTTGTGGCAAAACTGTCACCAGGTATTGCTGGAAACCAAAACCCTTGGAGCCTCAAGCTAGCCCGCAAGGCAAACGACCAGCCCTGATTAATTTTAATAATTTCAAGTTGCTTGCATTCCACATTTTGTATGTTCTGTTAATTCGACAACCTGCTTAATTCAATGATTTCTTATGGTCCCAGTGACATCGAAGGTTTTACTGTACATGTTATCAAACCGATACTTGGAAATTGGCCACCAGTATCCAGATCACACTACACACAAGTAACACAAGGCTACAGAAAAGACACACACTTTATACGCATTCATACCTTTTGTCTGGGGGTGAGCAACTCATCTGTGAGAGATGTAGAGATTTACTCACGGTTGTCCACATTCTAGTTCAGTGTAGTGATTCAGATGCTCTAAGAAAAAAGCACTTTTTACTGCTCTACCCACAGCAGCTTCCACTACATCCTGTCATGCTCATCGGTAGGGATCCACTTTTCAAACTTCAATCACTTTTTACGTTTTCAAAACATGTACATAGTTTTCACCCCAATTTTGAGGTGATCCGTAGCTCGACCACTGTACAGAGGTCGCGGCTACGGCAGTCCTCACCACCGACCCTGTCATTTATCCCAGCTCCACATATTTTACGTCACTGCCATGATTTAAATACTTTAAAGTTTTAACCCGCCTCCAGGTGAGGAATCATGGGCCTTTTACAGCCCTGCAACAGTATCATTGTTCATGGTACTCTTTGGCCAAGCGTGGCCCTTGCGCCATAAAAATTGCCCCGCCACGGTGGTCTAGTGGCTAAGGTACTCGGCTGCTGAATCGCAGGTCGCGGGTTCACATCCCGGCTGCTGCGGCTGCATTTCCGATGGAGGCGGAAATGTTGTAGGCCCGTGTGCTCAGATTTGG